CGGTCGCCGACAGAGCCGGCTCCGGGCCGCGGGCCGCCCAGCTCAAGGTCGCGCAGCACCCGGAGCCGAGCTTCGGACTCAGGCGGGCGCCGCGACCGGGGCTCACGCGACCCGCACAGGTGCCGAGTACCGACAGCGGACACAACTCCGCGCTGCGTCCTGCCGCTGCTGCCGACTGGCGCGCCCGGCCGTGGCATGACCCGGCAGTTCAAGGTCATCCCGGACGGCATTCCGGTGCGGCGCGGGGATGCGCAGTCAGCCTGGGAGAGTGCGGAACTGCGGCCGGCCGAGCCAGGCGCCGGGACGGCAGCATCACCACGGACGACCGGTATGGGGTGCAGACTGACCAGCGGCCTTCATTGGTGGCCGGCATACACGGCGTTGTGGACAGCGACCGGTCATGCATGCAAGGGCCAGCATGGGAAAGATGAGAGCTGAACATGCGCACCATTTATCTTGAAGTTGTTAAAATACCGTTACATGTTATCAAATTTACCATTGGTTTGCACGGACAGTGCGCGCAAAAATACCCTGTGAAAGCGCAGTCCTCACCTAGCATACTCCTGCATAGCTGCAGTCGCTATTGCAGTGTTTCGCACCCACCGCCTTGACTAGGGGCGTCGTCGGGGGGAGGGGGGTGATGCCGGCGGTGCATTGTGGGTGGCCTCCGTCTGGGACGACACGGACGCAGCCGGACGTGGGCTGTCGCGGTGCGTTTGTTTGCCCGTCATTTGACCTGACAGGCCCGGCAGATCGGCCGCGACACAAGGCTGCTGACGGCGAAGGGTCGCCCCACCGTGACGGGGTCACCGGATCACGCGTCACGACCGCCGTGTCATGAAGGCCGCGCGCGCCGCCGTCTTGCATTCCCCGTGACGTACGTCCACATAGCTCAGCAACGTACCCACGTTTAGATTCATGTCCGTATGGGTCCTAAACGCGGTCAGCATCACATTATTAATGCATCGTCTCCAAATCTTTAAAAATGACCACCTGTTCAGCATGATGTTAGGTACATGCATCTTCGGCGACCTGACCTATAAAGGTCACTACAGAGCCTTCAAGCCATTAGAGGTAACATATGCGGTCACGCGTAGCTCTCTCGACATCGGATGCAAGACTGAGAACGGACACGTACTCAACGTGAAGTCACCTGTACACATCCATCATAACCTGACTTGCAAAGGTCATCGTATAGCCTGCAGCCATACGGGAACATAAGTCAAGAAAGATGCGGCCACAGACTACTTCGCCAAGACGGTGCCAATGCCAAAGGTGAAAGCGATTTATATACAACATAATCTTGAGATCAAAAGATAAAAAGTACGTAGTTTAGGCTGTGTGACAATAAGTATGCTGATGATATCTTATGCATTGGTGCGGTGGTAAAAAAAGATATGTCTGATGGCGTATTTAACCCCAATGACCTCCACATATTTTATCACATTTATGCATCATGTTACAGTTCTTACACTGATCTGAATATCTCAATACCACAAGACCGTTGAAATATGTCATTGTAATACGTCAGAGCACGAGCTAGGTGATTCCAATTTTCGAGCAATCATACGCTCGTATTACCCCACTGTCTGATGCATGTCACCAAATCGTGATGGTGGCTGAATGACGCAACAATGGCTCCAGCCTAACTGACTGGAGCCTGTACAGTGACAAAGTAGGTCAGGTTGCAAAAATTGCATTGTTCTGTCAGAATGGTTACCACGAAGTCGTGTTGAGATCTTAGTGCCAATTCATCATTGACCGAGTAATGCGTGCCCGAGTTTTTAATTTCTAAATGCCTTGAGGCCATAAAGCAGCCATTAAATGTCAAGTTAATACAACTGCATATAGCTGACGTGCTTCCAGTACGTAGACTTTTTCGAATTCATAATCAATACATTGTTAATAGAGTTGTGCACGAGGGCATGTTTCCCCCCCCCCCCATGAGCCTGGAGGTGGAACAGTGACTTCTGAAAGGTCGGTTACTCAAACTGCATACGCCTGACCTAATGGTGGACATGTGGCCGTCTGCACCTCTGAATTGGAGGAGGTATGCGTGGCCGCATTTCCCGCTCACACGGATAAGTCAGAGCACGAATACATTGCTAGCCACACAGACATCCATGTCGCGCCCCACAGAGATCGCGGCAGAGCGAGGCGATGATCGCGGCGATGTAAGGGTCACGGTGGCGATGTGAGGGTCACGGTGGCGATGTGAAGGTCACGGTGGCGTTGCAAGGGTTACAGTGGCGATGTGAGGGTCACGGTGGCGATGTGAAGGTCACGGTGGCGTTGTGAAGGTCACGGTGGCGTTGCAAGGGTTACAGTGGCGGAGTGAGGGTCACGGTGGCAATGTGAAGATCACGGTGGCATTGCAAGGGCTGCAGTGGCGATGTGAGGGTCAAGTGGCGATGTGAGGGTCACGGTGGCGTTGTGAAGGTCACGGTGGCGTTGCAAGGGTTACAGTGGCGATGTGAGAGCCACGGTGGCGATGTGAAGGTCACGGTGGCATTGCAAGGGCTACAGTGGCGATGTGAGGGTCAAGTGGCGATGTGAGGGTCACGGTGGCGACGTGAAGGGCACGGTGGCGTTGTGAATGTCAGTGGCGTTGCGAGGGTTACAGTGGCGATGTGAAGGTCACGGTGGCAATGTGAGGGTCACGGTGGCGATGTGAAGGCCACAGTGGCAATGCGAGTGTCACGGTAGCGATGTGAGGGTCACGATGGCGCCGAGACAGCCACCCTTACAACGCGACGCTACCGAGCACCCCGGCACTCACCAAAACGCAATGATCAAAACGCATTTCAAAGAACAAAACACATTTCGCCCCAAAAGCGGGTGTATGTTGCGCAGCTGATCGGGAGTGCCGCTATACCTTACGGCCAATCTGTCACGAAACTCGTGATCAATCGGCGGAAACACATGATCTCAAGGGAAGTCCTGGCCACCAAGGCTGTTTGGGCGTCTCCACGCAGATTCGCCTTTACATTGGATTTACACAATGGAGAAATTCATCCTCATCGAGGAGCTGAATACAACAGAAGAGCGCCAGTTAAACAAGCCTCAAATTTTTCCCTTGAAAACGCACATGGCCTGCATTTAAGCTTTGGTGCTTTCATCTGTTGGAGGGAGCGCGCCAACTGCTCGGCCCAGCGCTCCGGGCCACGCCCTCCCTCACCGGGCCAGTCATGTCGCCGTCTCGCCACGATACGGTGGCGCCAGCCGCTGGGGAGCGCGTGGCAGCGCGAGCCTGACGCGCCGGCGCCGTGTCGCAAGCGTCATGTTCCCCTGCAGCCGCGCCGTGTCAATTCGCGTTTCGGTGTAGCGATACGCTGACTTCGAGAGCACGCGGCGCGGTGGCGGTCGAACAACAGGGCCTGCTACGGTCCGTTGGGGAGCACACAAACGTCAATGCAGTTGGTTGGTTTTGAGACCATGGTGCAGTGGGCGTTGCGCATGGTTGAAGCTATGGACGCGAGAACCGGGCGGGAAAAGGGAGGGGCAAGAGGCAAGAGGGCTAAGCCTCCCATATTCCGGACAGTCAAGATTGGTCTGATGGATGTGGAATGGAAAAAAGTAACTGAAAATGGCACGCTGCCCTAAGCTGTACGGATCTCGGATAGCCCAGGTTCAAGTAAACTTTCTGTCCCACCAGGACTATTTCTTTAAGCGCAGTTATTACAAGGCTCTTCTGCATGCCTCTCAGTTCGCACTCAGCTCGTAACCACAGCTGAAATGCCAACCGGACGCGCCAAGGCACTCCCGTGAGCTCCGTTCAACTCCCGGCTCCGTTCAAGCTCCGTTCAGCGGAGCTTCGATCGAGGTTCGCTTCACCACTGCTCCGACGGACGACCGGCGGGTGGTCCGACTCCCAGACTGTAGCTCGCCCGTCGCTGGCCCCGGCCGCCACGGTCGGCAGATCACATGCGCCGGGCCGCCGTTGCGTCAGGGCCGCTCGCCGTCTCCGGGCGGCGAGCGGCGCGGGAAAAAACGGCGCGAGCCGCACCGGGGAGTGTTCCAATGTCAACACGGCGAGTGCTTGCCCGGGCCGGTACACGCACCGAAGGGAGGCCGCTATCGCGGGACTTGCCACCCGCGATAGCGGCCGCCGAGCCTGATAAAAACCGAGCGCACCCCAGGTGCCGCCTGATTTTGGCCGCCCCGCCTGTACGCAATGGCAGATCCAGGGGGGGGGGGGGCATGGAGCCAGCCCCATTTTGAACCGCAGAGACAAAGTCCTCATTTGGGGCCCATATTACCTTAAGTCGCACCAAACTTCAGGAGCACCACAAACGGACCCAAATCTTCGAGCTCAGCACAGAATAAATGGAAGTTTACCTTCAGAAATAAAGTGGAATAAATCCGGCGGAAGATGTTTTTTCCAATTGAAACATAAGAATCTGAAAACAAAGAGGCTACAATCCGGGGACTCCTTTGTGATCGGGGCACCAAGTTCCAGGGAGCACCACAATGAAGCACGGCCCCTCCCTTGACGAAATCCTGGACCCCTGCGTGTGAGAGGAAGACAGGGACACGCAACGGACCACGGAGGCGCGGAGGAAGGGGTTCAGGGATGAGCAGAGTTGGAGCAATGGACAGAGAAGAGGAGTCAAGGATCGAGCGAAGAGAGGACCAATGATAACGTGCGAGAGAAAGCGAGAGTAGCCCAATACAAATGAAGTTAGACCCAATAACCAGAACATAATGAAGGGCCAGACAAAATGAAGTAGCAGGAAGGAATGTAAAGACCATCGGGAAGACGTGGACAGCCCCCGCCAATGATCGCCAACTGGAAGTCCAGCGTTTCACCCGAAAGTTTCATCCTTCATCGAGACATCACGGCCGACCATGCCGTATCCGCGACGCAGACACGGACATAAGACTGCCGGCCCGCCGTTTGTTGTCGGCGCCGCCCTCGGAGCGCGGCTGCGTGGGCGACTGCAGCGCCAGCGGCCCTCCAGGCCAGTAGCACCAGCCGGGCGTGGCCACGTCTCACTCACCGCACTTGCAGGTTCTCCATGAAGCTGTCGATGTTGATCTGGTCTAGTAGAACAAAGTCGCCGATACCGGCCTCGTCGTGGTGCGCCATGGCGACGGCTCACGGGTCACTGTTCGCCGCCGCACCAACGCCACCCGGCCGCCGCACCCGACTGCCGCCCGTTTGAAACCGGCCGGCGCGCGGCGCCCGGCGAGCAGAGCCGGCGCCGCCTCTCGAGAGTCCGCAGAAACACGTCCGCGCGCCAGCTCACCTGCTGACGAGACGCGCGGCAAACGCCGGCCCGCGCCAGGATCTAGTAGGGGCGGAGACGAGTCGACGAATGGGTCGTGGCTCGTTCAACAGGGGATCCAGTTTGGGTGGAGGGGGCACCGGACCATTCCCCCGAGATGACCGAATTCGGTCAAAAACGGCACATTTCTAGACTGGAAATGAAACCTAAGCAGCTTCCACTGCTACAAGTTTGTTTTAGAACACTCTCGAGGTGGACAGTAGGGGAACCCGAAGAGTTCTTAAAATGAAGGCAACTTTGGGATTTTGCACCCAAGCCGGGGTCTCACCAACGCGGCGTTCCGGATCACCATTGAGCTCGGTTACTTGGCAAGTGGGATTCGATAAGATTACCAGATTTGACACTAATCGCGATGATAGATCACGTGTATGTATACAGAAGGCTCTAGCATAGCAAGGAAATGCAATGAAGACAGGCGATTTGTTCTCATTCCAGAAAGCCCCAGCAGAAGCCCTACGCCTGTTATCCTGCGGGCTACATTTACGTAAGGTCAATGTAAAGTCCTTCGCTATCGCTCCGAAAAACGAGGGAAACGTTTATGACGATTTTTTGTATTTTGAAAGTGTGATGTAATGTGCAAGCTACCATACTCTGGTAGCACAGACAAAACATAACTGCAACTAGGAGGTGCAGATAATGGAGTAGTTGACGCGTCTGCGTTGACCACTGCACCTCTGGGAAACCAGAGGCACGGGGTGCAATGTCAGGCGGTGCCCGCCCTACCTGCCAGCGTGAGAAGCAGGCGACTTCCCCTGCTTTCAAAACCAAAGTTGCGCCCCTGGCAGAAACTTTTCGTTGTATGCTCAGCACTTGTGCGTGATGTTTAGCCTACATTCATCAATATGTAAGCTTCGGTCTTCCCCAAGGTGCAACGAAGTGTGCTGCACAGCTTTGCGCTTGATATGCTCCTCGCAAAGCAGATTACCTACCATTAACGAAGGCTTCTTACCGGCTCTGGCGGCAGATGACTTTTAGATTTAGGTGAATTGGAGTCCACTGGTTTCCCATTTATGGCACTGTTTTGGCAAGACCCTGTGACTAAATTTTCCACCGTCTTTTCATCCATCAAAGATCGACAAAGTCGATGGAAGTGCCTCTCGCGGATAAACTGCTCGAAATAAAGCATGCGAAGAGAAACGACACATTTTGGTTGCGCTGTGTTTTTGTCGCAGTATACCCCAGGGACCAACAGAGCCTGTCAGCGCTCGGAGCCTACTTTGACCACGTCACGTGACTGTAGTGACCACGTACGTGGACACCGGAAATGAATGCCGAGAGCCGGATCCTGAGGCCTGCGTCCAAGGTCCTTAGGAGTCCTAAGGGTTTCACCTTAGGAGTCCTAAGGGTTTCATAAGCTAGCAGGAAGATCGAACTTGTTTTAAAGACGGAATTTTTGTAGTTGTCTGCCACTATAACTGAGGTTTCCAACGATTTGGGCTCCAAACTGAAGACGGCCAAGGTAATCACGGCGAAGGGGGAGGGGGGGGGGGGGGGGTCAAGGCTCTCCGGAGATATAACGCCACACCCATTTAGATTCTGACCGCGAATTTGAAGGTCTGATCGCCGCGTATCATGGGCGTGATTGTGAGCTCGTTCGTACCCAGGCACTTGAACACCAGCGAAGACAGATCGTAAAACGTTCGCGTCAATTTGATAGCAGCTTTACCGTTGGTTCGTGTCTCGTCCCAGCTGTCGTTGCCGTGCCCCTGCACCTGAGCAGCCGTCATGACCCACAGCGTTGGCAGAAGCTTGACCCGTGCCCTGCACCTGAGCGGCCGTCATGACCCACAGCGTTGGCAGCGGCTCGGCCCGTGCGCTGCACCTGAGTAGCCGTCATGACCCACAGCGTTGGCAGCGGCTCGGCCCGTGCTCTGCACCTGGGCAGCCGTCATAGGCCACAGCGTTGGCACCCGGCTTGGCCCGTGTCCTGCAC